AATATATATATATATATATAATTACAATTATTTCAAGCTACAACTAAATGAATACGAACGAAAAAATCTGTATTCGTGTTTGACTCGTTTATATATCCAGCGCAAAAGAAATTATTTGTGTTCGACTCATTTGCTTAGCGAACGAATCGAATACGAGCTTTTTAACGAATCGAATACGAGCTTTTTGCGAACGTGCTGTTCGCGAACGAGATGTTTTGATAGCCATATACAAGTCATAGAATTCATTTCTTTTTTTAATTACTTTAAACAAAGATCTAATGAGTAAGAAGAAATAGCACTAATGCGTGCAGCTGAAGCTGGAATGAAGCTTAGCAATGTCTATTGCATGAAGATTTCGCAAAAGTGCATTATATTTTATTCAGTAGTTTGAAGGGATAAAACATGAGCTACTGAAAAGAGAATGAAGCTCTTTTTCTTCATTTTTGCTTATTTGAAATATAAGGGCAAAAAAACATAAATTTATTATTTGTTATAACTTTCTCCTTATATTTTAGCTATAAATGCATTCAACCATTATTATTATTATTATTATTATTATTATTATTATTATTATTATTATTATTATTATTATTATTTAATTATTATATTTTGCTTGATTAAGGACCATAGTCATTTACTTGCCACTATTACTTTTATTTCTTGTCTTAGAAGAAATGAGAGTAGATTAGATACTAAAGATGCTGAAAAATATATATATAAACTAGCCAAACAAAGTGAAGAGAAAACTAAAGATTTAATTCCAACAAAGAGTGTATTAAATATGACAATCAAAAAGTGTTTTTCTTAGAGAAATAGATGGGTGACCTATTTTTATAAACTTTTTAATGAAGGTTTTGAAAATACAATCTACCTTAATGATCTAAATATCATTAATAATAATGAAACTTTTTATTACCATTGCATTAGTTAAAAGGAAGTTGAGGCATTAAAGAAAACCGAAGGTGAAAAATCAATAGGATCTGAAGACATCATAATTGAAATTTAAAAATATATAAGAGATTTTGGAGTTTCTTGGCTTAATCAACTCATTAATATTATTTTAAAAAATAAAAAGATGACTGAATAAAGAAAGGGTATTTTGGTCCCCAATTTTAAGAATAAAGAGGATTCACAGGAGTGTGCAAATTATAGAGGTAAAGTTATGAGAGATAGTAATTGAGCATTGGTTAAGACGTTATACAAAGATTTCTCATAATCAGTTTGGATTTATGTCGGGCAAGCCTATTATGGACCTATTATGGAAGGTTATTATGGAAGTTATACATTTATTAAGAGCTTTGATGGAAAAACACATATCTTTTTTTGTATTTTAGTTGGACTACATTAGAGATCGACTTTAAGCCCATATCCTCTTTCTTTAGTTATGGATACTATTACTAGACATTTATGGGAGGATGTACCTTGGTGTATTCTTTTCGTTAATGATATCCTTTTTGTGGATAAGCCTAGAGAAAGAGTTCATGCAAATGTGAATTATGGAGGTTTACATTGGAGTCTAAAGTCCTTCATTTGAGTAGATATAAAATTGAATACATGGAATATAATTTCAGTAGTAGTAGCTCTAGTGACAGATTTGTAACTATGGGTGATCAAATCATTAAAAGGTGTGAACATTTTAGATATCTCGAATCTATTGTTCAAAGTGATGGTGATATAGATGGGAATGTTATTAGTAGAATTTGGGTTGGTTAGTTGTGGAGGAATGTAGCAAGCATATTGTGTGTTAGAGACGTATTGCTTAGACTTGAAGGAAAGTTTTATAAGATGTTGATGATACCTGTAATGCTTTATTAAGCAAAAGGTTGGTCTTTAAAGAAGAAGCATAAACCAAAGTTAATTGTTGTTGAGATGAGAATGCTTAGTGGATGAGTGGCTCGACACTTGGAGACAAAATGAGAAATGAATCTATCCGTGAAAGGGTTGGTGTAGCTCTAGTGGCAGAAAAGATTAGAGAGAGTTGTCCTAGTTGGTTTGGTCACATTAAATGTCGACCATCTGATGATTCGGTTAGGAGATGTTTTAGATTTGATTTATGTTAAGAAATGCAGAGGTAGACCTAAAAAGACTTGTGCATATTGTATAAAAAATGATCTTAATATATTAGAACTAAATGAAATATGACACTCAATAGGACACAATGGAGAAAAAAATTCATGTAGCCGACCCCACTTAATGGGATAATGGCTTGTTGTTATTGTTGTTATCTTAAAGGAAATGGTCGATAGGTTAAATTTTATTACAACTATTTCGGATACATGTGAAAAACTTGTATGATTTTGATCAATCTTGGAGCCAAAGAAGTTGCTAATTATAGACACATTTTATTATATTGATATAGTAAATGAAAGAAATTATCATTGCCAATGATCATGTTTTATTTCTATTAAGGATTCATCCTTATAGATTGAAAACTCCAATTTATAGCCAATTTGTTTCATCAAACAAAGAAAATTGTGAAATTGTCTTAAGTATTATATTTTGAAAAATATTTTATAGGGGATTTGCCACTATTGGAAATGTTGGATCAGTATCCATCATATATTGACATTGAGATCTTTGTGAATGTCATAATGTGCTATAATCCATCATTTTCCGTAATAAGTTATTCACTATAAAATTACTGTTAAATATCAAGCAGGCTCTTCATGTTTGGACTACGTTTGACATTGAGTTAACTAATAACAGTAGGTTTCGCCATCATTCCCTACCTTAATTTTTTGTCTCCATTGCGATCTTTTTTTCATTCTAAAATGTAAATTATTCCATAAATTAGATTATGCAACACTTTTTTTACTTCAATTTATATGATAATGAAGTTTAAGATTAAAACTCACCCTCATCTCTTTTATTCAGAGCTTAGGTTTTTCTCTGGGGGAGGTTTAAGAGCTCTCTCGATTGCAAAGCCAGATAGCTTGGAAATGAGACTGAGATTTTAAGCTCGTGCTTCCTCCAACCTTTGTGCATTAAATCAAACAACATCTGAGAAGAAAGGACATAAGAAGTGGAGGCAGCGAGAGTAGACAATAATAGTGTTTTCATAGCAAGCTGGTTTGGAATTACAAGTGATGGTGAGACGTCTGGAGATTGTTGCATTAGGAGGGAAGGGCTTGTTATTATTGCATTAAAATAATTAGAGGCAACTGACTGTAAAAGTGGGGCTATTTGTTTTTTTACTTGGATACCTATTTATGTAAGGATCTTTATAAAAGATTATTGTATATGAGGATCCAAGTAGAAGGAAATGCTGACTTGTATGAAAAGAGGTTTGAATCTTAAAGACCTAAATTATATTTTCTCTAAACTTCTCTCCCACCATTACCAAAGTAGTGAAATTTCGTGGACGAGTAATTTCATCATACTTCCACTGCTTTAGAGATCTTATAAATATCTTGTTATAGATAATGCTGCCAAGGGTAAGCTACATGTTCTGGGCTATTCCAGCCGAGCAGACTTCACGTTCATCATCGGTTATTTTTTAATCTCTACCTCTAAAACTTTAAAATGAAAACAGCAACTTATCCAGTTGATATTCAGCGCCTAATTTGCTACAGGAAGAAGCCAGAAATGGCATGATAAATGTAATTTTCTTTAACCTGTGCTTCCAAAAGCATGCTGCTTTTCTTATACAATTTCTATTTTCTGATATATTTTCTGTGGCTTATGGGTGTGGTTTCAAGTAATCAATCAGAAGACGGACACAGACGTTTATTATATTCCTCCTCATTGTTGCAAATAAATGTTTATCATATGCACCTTCTGGCAAAATATTGTTAACTCACGTTAAAGGAATTGAGTTAATATGAATAATTTATTTCCAAAGTATCATACAATCAGCTTTTTCATTCTCTTAACTTTTCTCATCTTTTAGAAATGATTTGACATTTGCCACCGAATGCAGGACAAAAGGTTCTGTTCAACTTGAAGATTAATTATGAGTTTAACTGATAAGAAAATTTTATTTATTGTAGCAATTGCTTGTAGTCAAACGATCGGGTATTCTTTGAAGTATCTTGTATGTTAAATGACTAATAAAATATAATATAGTAGCGTCACAAAGTCTAAAAGCAACCAACTAATTTACTATCTGAAGTACTTGATCTGAAATTCAATCAAATAATGACTTTGGTTGCTAATGAAATTAATGTGATGACCTACGTCGCAAATCGTTGCAGCCAATTGATCTCTTCATCTTGATGCTAGATCTAGATATGATGTTTATCAGAGTTTTAATCCTATAATAAAGGGTTTAGCGGAAAAAAATATGATGATTGAAGAAAGGATTAGGGAACATTTCATCCCACCTACAAAGGAAGTTCCAAACGTGATAGAGAAACTAGATGGACGAATGAAAACTAATACCCCCATACAAGAACATTGTGGTTAGCAAAGAAAAATTGTAAACTGAAATATTACATCCGGACTTCTCTCCGGATGCATCCGGAATCCAATGATGGGGCACCACATGTCAAGTGATCACGCCGCTTTTAACACTGGCTAGTGCCAGTGTATTTGGGTGAGGCCCACTTGACACGTGGCGCCCCAACATTGGACTCTGGGCGCAAATTGCGTCTGGAGTCCGGATGTAATATTTTCTCCTCTTAATGGCTGTTTTTTCTTCAGAGCATCTCTCTCTCTCTCTCTCTAAATAGGCTGTTTTTAATGCTACTAACGTATAAATTCTCATATTAAAAAAAAGTGATCAACAGAAGTACATATTTTGGTAGCTCAAGGCCACGAAAAAGAAATTTATTAATCAAAGTTAACAGTAGTAATTTTATTATGGGCTTTCTATAACAAAGCATTTTCGATTAAAAATTAAATGAACACAAATAGACCCTCATAAACACTTGCAACTAAACAAATAAAATATGTACTTGATAATATGAGTTACTTTGAAAGCATGCCATTTTACACCACTGTAACAACTTTTCAGCACTTTGGAGAATAAATATGGTAGTAATAAGTAGAAAAGAAGCTGAGGGAACCTCTCATGATAGTCTTCTTAAAGAATAGATCCGAATGTAATGACCACCTATTCAGTTCAGTTTGAGATTAGCCGTTGGTATTCGTGAAGCAGGGTTGGAATGTCGCTCATGCGGAGCTGAGAAACCAATCAAATGACAAAGTAATTAGACGCATAAATCAACTAGAGTTTTTCATTAAAAAAATATTTTTCTAAAAATTGTTACATCATTTAAGGAAAAGAAATACAAAAACAATATAAAAAAGTAATTATGAATATGACTTAACAATATTAAAAACAGCTAAAAAAATTATTACTTTAGAAAAGGGATGAACTTTAACAAATTTATTAATTTTTGAAGATGTGTTGCTGAAAGAGAAAAATTAGATTTCTTTGGTTAAGCCAAAACCTAATGAGAAATAACGTGACTAGTTCCACTAAGAAGATTGTCAAAAAAAATTTAGGAACCAATAAATTGACAGTACACTAATATTAGCACTAATAGCACAAATAATTATTAAAAAAAAGGGGATTTTTACATATTAACCACCAAAAATATTAAATATAATATTTCAATGACCCAGACTTTAAATATAATATTTTAATCATTTTTTCATTACAACCACGCTCATAAACCCACTCATGAAGGTTTAAAGTTGAGGTTTTGAATGGTTAAAATGTTATAATTTAAAATTTGGATCATTAAAATAATACATTTATTGTTTGGGATAGTTGGTATGTAAAAACCCGATGAAAAAATTATTTTATAAAATGCTGGCTATTAAATACTACAAAAACTTGGTAATGATAATGTGAAATCTTGAAATCTTACAAAAAGTGTCACGTGTTGAAGTCCAAGTTATTGTTTTAAAACTCCAAAAAATTGTTTGTATGAATGATCATGATAGCTTCGGGTCTACTCAAATTGGTGTCTCAAAAGGGGATTTACATCAACAACCCTATGAAAGACCATCATTGAGGAAGATCTCAAAATGCTCATTTCCCTAACAACTTAGAGGAACAAGAAATTCTTCTAAGTTAAATGTTGGTCTACCCATGTCTACCTAGCCAAACATTAATCAATCCAAATCTGTGTCAGACAAAACCCATCCAACACAACACATACTTGAGTTCAAGAAAGCGCATGACAGGCAAGCTAGACAGTAATCTAGAAAAGAAAAGGATAGCATATTATCTTTAAGAAGTAAGCAGGCCATTGCTAGGTTATCAAATGATTGTTAACCCCTATACCAATGGCCATAAAGTAGCCAAGTCTGAGCTAATTTTCAAGTAGTTTACAGACCACTGCTAAACCTTAGCAGACCTCTGCTAAGTTACCAATAACAAGTTAACTAGTTTATGGATTTTGGATAACCTAAGTGTATATCAGTATTGGCCTATTTTTAACTTGACATCAACTTTACAAAAAAATAATTGACATATGTTGGCTTCAATAGCACCATGATTCCTTGGTTAGGATAGAGGTCATTGTGTAATAAAGATCATATTTCCTAATGAGTCGTGAGAATCAATGAAAAGCAAATTGAGAACCTTAGAGATTTCCCTTAAATAGCAAAAATACTAAACAATATTTCTTTCATTCCATGAGTGCAAGCCCCCTAATTAATAACATCTCAGATGTGAAAAGAAATTCTAAAAAAGATATTATTTTTATGAGGTGCTTAAAGGCAATTTAGTCATTTGTCGTTTATTATTATTTAGTATAAATATGACTAATATGCTTTGGGTTGGGGTTACGCATGACATTGGGCTTGAGTCCTAGGATTAGGGTTTGGGAGAGATTTCTCTTTGAATTAGAGTTTAGTATAAATATGACCATAGCCACCACCAACCATGTCATGCTTGCATGGAATTGTAAACAAGAAATATAAATCCTTGTTTAATACAATGTGTAAATGACATATGCCATCTAATGCACCTAGCAATAAACAATAAAATACTCTCACTTTCTTATATTACAATAATAATACCATCAGTATCAAATTGCAGCAAATTTTCTGTATAGATCATATCATCAAAGCCTGCAAGGCATTCACTGCATCACTAGTCATTTAGATGGTAGAAATATGAGATTTTACAGAATTATGAGAATTGGTAATCATTTCAAAGATTTACTTTCAAAAAGCTGCCACAATCTTAGGAGGAGAGTAGGTCAATTTCTATTATATAAAATTTAAATTATGGAACCATTGTGTGCTAAGATTCATAATTTGGTAGTTTCGTTTTTACTGTTACCCGATATATTTCATGCGCATATCATAGATTTACTTGGCTATCCCAAATATAGAACTAATCAGTTTTTATTTTGCTTGTTAGCTTATACTTTAGTTCGCCAACTAATTAGTTGTTTGGTTGACAGTTGTTGATTTTGATTTTACAAATGAATCAATATATTTATGTGTTGTTTACACATTGAAGATAATTTTATAGATTCATATTATGTTTCCACATTGAATTTAAGTTGGTTAAACTCTCTTCTTGAGTATGCTTAACTCAGGTAACATTATCTAATGCTTTTCTGGCTAAGCAATGTGATAATGGTTAGTTGGTTTGACTTAAATCTTCTCTAATTAAACTGAACTCTATGGTTTACTATTTTGGATGTAATTTTTGAGAAAATCATCATGCCATTGAGTCCTCATTAACTAACTCTCTTTTTTGCAAATTTCTTAAATTTCAATGATAAATGAACCACTAGTCTATGTGGATAGAATCAGCTTGCTCGCATGCGAGAAGAAAGAGAGACAAACTAACAAATTAATTAGATGTTCATAAAAGGAAGTAAAGGTTGCGATATGAAGCGTGAGAAAGAGGGTTACCTTTCTCAAAGGCTGCAATGCAAAGCAAAGGTTTTAGGACTCGCAGAATTGGAGAGAATGTGAAGGACTAGAGATTCGGAGGTCTTTGCATGGTGATTGTCGATGAGCTGATCATATAGTCGTTGCCTCCCCTTCCTATCCTTACGGTGCCAGTTGCAGACCCGACCCTTACCGATCGAATGCAGACAATTGAACACACGCAGCGTCCCTAGAATCTGGGGATGGCGACGAAATCAGGCGTAGAGAGGGAGAACGCTGAGGCCGATCACCGATCGGTCAAATGAGAGAGCGATATGTGACTGAGAGAGGCTAAGACATGAATTCGAAGGGGCAAAATAAAAAGACGCGCCAATATAACTTTTAACTCCGAAAATTCAGGAGGGAGGGGGGGGGGGGGGGGGGGGGGGGGGGGGGTAGGTCCGTGCCAGGTTGTTTGAGGTAGCAGTATTCCCTAGGATTAACTTGAAGTCAGAGTGTCAACA